TGGGACTTCGAGTCAGAAGCCTGGGATTTTAGTCCAACTCTATCATTTAACATCTGCGTGTAGCCTCAGGCAGGTCTCTTAATCACTCTGCCTCTCATTTTCTTCTTCTGTGGAAGGCAGATTAGGCAAAGGACAAATTTGATGTTAATATTTGATAGTGCTTTGAAAATAATAAAATATTAAATAATGTAAGGCAATTATTTCTGCCATTAGCAAAATATTTGTGTATAACCATATAACTTTAAGCTCAGTTTTGTTTTTGTTGTGTTTTGAAGACAAGTTAAGCTAAAGCTTTTTCTAACTTGAATTTTTAAATACAAAACATATTTACTGTAAACATTCAAACAGTGCAGATATGCAGAATAAAATTAAAGTACCTTATCCTGCCATCCCCCACATGTGTTCCCACGTACTTCCCCCCCACAAAGATTTTCTATGTATTCTTTCAGTTTTTCCTATATATTTATAGTCAAAGATCATTTAAGCAAAACACCTCTGCACATGTTGGTATTTATCACTTAACCATATATGATGAACAATTTCAGGCCAGTACATATACAGATCTACATCAATCACTTTACTATTGCACAGTATTCTTTACTGGACCACAGTTTGTTTCACTTTTGGTGAACATTTATTTTGCTTCTAATTTGTTATTGCAATAAACAATGCCAAAACAAACATTCTTCTACATACATTTTTGTGCACACATACTAGTTTCCCGAGGTGAGTAACAAATACCACAAACCTGGAGGCTTTAAACAATAGAAATTTATTCTCTCATAGTTCTGGAGTCCAGAAGTCCAAAATCAAGGTGTTGGCAGGGTTGTTTCCTTCTGGAGGCTCTGAGGGAGAATCTGTTTCATGCCTCTCTCTCTTAGCTTCTGGCGGCTGTGGGCAATCCTGGTGTTTCTTAGCATGTTGATCCATCACTTCAATCTCTGCCTCTGTCTTCACATGGCCTTCCCCTCTGTGTCTCAAATCTCCCTCTCCTTTCTCTTATAAGGACACCAGTCATTGATCTTGAGATCCTTACCTTAATTACACCTGCAAAGATCCTTATTCCAAATAAAGTTATATTCTGAGGTTCTGCTGAACATATCTTCTGGGGGCCATTATTCAACCCACTACAACGCACATGAGAATATGTCAAATAGGGTAAAAAAATTATACTCCTAAAATGCCCCTCAAAAGGTTGTAAAAATTTTCATTTCCACCAAAAGAATATTAAATCTCTCTTTCCTCCACACTCTTACCAACTTTTAAAAACTTTTTGCTAAACTGATGTGTTAGGTAAAAAATAATGTAATACCACTGTTTCTATCGCATTTCTCTGATTTCTAGTAAGGCTAACCCTCTTTTCAAGTATTTATTGATTGGTTATACTTCTTTTGTGAACTACCTTTTCATAAATTTTGTCATTTTTCTAAATGGCAATGTGTCATTTTCTTCTCAATCTTTAAGAATTTCTCATAGTATGGATATTAATAATTTGTCTATTATATATATTGCCACAATTTCCTTCAAGTCTGTCCCTTATCTAACTTTATCTTTCACTACATAACATTTTAAAATATTTATTTAGTCAAATCTATCAAATTTTTCCTTTAGGGTCTCTGGATTTTAACATTTTTAGATTTAATTCCCTAAGATTTTACGTGATATCACAAAGTGGGACAAATACAGACCTATGAGTTAGAGAAAGCATATTCTACCCAGCCTTCAAATGCCTTATGAATGAGAAAATATTTGAGGAACCAGAGGATGCTCTAGGCTAAATGTGAGAATACACAAAAGAGGAACAGCAAAGTTGGAGAAGGTACTGGTGATTTAACAGTGCAACAACCGCTGATATACAACAGTGCTTTAGGCACTGAAAGGGAAAAGAAACGTAAGACAGATAGATTCCCTGCCCTCCAGAAGTTTACAATTCAGATGTAAGCAAAAATAGTTTAAGCAACAGTCAGGCAGCAATGATTGTAGCAATGAGCTTCAAACAAGTGAAGTCCATGGACTCCACAGTACAACGGGAAAAAGAATTCTGATGGGTCTCAAAAGAATGCTGAGTACCAATCCTAATTCAAAAAAAATTTTAAACTTTCATTAAAGTATAATAAACATAAGAAAAGCAGACCTATCATAATTAAACAGCTCAATGAACTTTTACAAAGTAAACTCACCTGTATAACCAGCACTCAGCTCAAGAAAAAGTACATGACAGCACCCCAGAAGCACCCTCCTACTTCCTTCTAGTCATTCCCCAAAAGCTCAGATTGGTTTTGCCTATTTTTGTACTCTATATGAATGTAATAATATACTATGTACTTCTTTATTTCAAAACACGTTTGTGACATTTATCCAAATTTTTGCATACAGTTATAGATGGTTCTTTCCCATTATTGCCTAGTATTCCATAGTGTGAATATTCTTATCCATTATACCAACGACGGGTAGTTTGTATAGTTCCTACTTCTGGGCTCCTGTGAAAAATACTGCTATCAACATTCTAGTACATATCTTTTGGTGAACACATGATTTCATTTCTGTTGAGAATGTACTAGGGAGTAGAACTGATGGGTCACAGACTGTACATGTGTTCAGCATTAGTAAATACTGCCAAATAGTTTTCCAAAGTAGTTGTAAAACTCCTTCAGCATTGTATGAGAGGTCCGGTTATGCTACATTCTCGTCAACACTTATTGTATTTCACCCTTTTCATTTTAGCCATTCTAGTGAGTTTGTAGCAAACACAATTATTATGGATAATATGAAAGTTCAGATAGTAGCAAATCTCTTATAACAAAAGATCAAACAATGAGACAAGCAGCTTTTTAAAAAGAATAAGGTATTAAAAAAAGAATTCTCTTTTTGTTGTAAAAAACTCATTTCACTAATAAAATAGTAGAGGAAAGAAACACATATTAAAGAGCAGACAAAAAAATACCTCAATCATGGAACCAGCAAATAGTCCAAAAAAGTGGGGAAAAATATAAGAAAAGACAAAGTAGGAAGCACGGTAAGCGACCAACGTTCTGGTACTTGAAACCTATAGTATTAGATCTCTCACTAAAATGTTATGGTCTGTACTTTTCTTTTTTTTAGGTTTTTTTTTTTTAACATTCCTTTTTTTTTTAAATTGAGGTAAGATTAGTTTATGGGTCCATACTTTTCTGTAGAGACAATGGCTGTTTTATTTCAGGGGAATGAATATCAGTAAATTTTTTCTAAAAATAATATAAAATATATTTTAGCAAAAACTTACAGAATAACTTTTCTACATACCACAGTGTATAATTTCCTAACTGTACTATGTGAGATATATTTCTTTAAGAAAGTACAGTATATAATTTGATCAGGACACATATGTATTCTCAGTAAACAAACAAAAATCAGAACCTGTAATACTACTACCTTACATCTGTCTAATATCTAACTTTGTAAAAAATTCCAGACTTTCACTTAAACTAGTGAAAAAAAGATCCTGATAAAAAGACAAAACACAAATTACTTCCATTTTTCAGATGTCTAGACCTGTGACCTCACCTCAGCCAAAAGCTTCTAGAGAATGAGGACCCTACCTTGTAATTTATCACAGCCCTTCCCCACACGTTTAGCAGAATATTCAATAAATTCTACTGACCAACATGCTAGAATCTATAATTACTAACCAATATATCATATATGCTGCTTCATGTAGCTGGTGAAAAGTGATTAGATTTATGTATTATATTCCGATAGACCTAGTTCAAAAGGCTTAATCATTTTTCAATAAGAATTCATCAACAGGCATGGATTTTAAAAATTATATAAAAACAAGGGCTGGCATGGTGGCATAGTGGTTAAGTTCACATGCTTTGCTTTGACGGCTCAGGGTTCACAGGTTCGGATCCCAGGTGTGGACCTACATACCACTTATCAAGCCATGCTGTGGCAGGTGTCCCACATATAAAGTAGAGGAAGATGGGCATGGATGTTAGCCCAGGGCCAATCTTCCTCAGCAAAAAGAGGAGGATTGGCAACAGATGTTAGCTCAGGGTTAATCCTCCTCACCAAAAAAAAAAAAAAAAATATATATATATATATATGTATAAAAACAAACACAATGAACTTTAAGAACAATAAAGTAGAAAGCCACAAACTATGTGCAACAGCATCTACTAATAGATCAAACCTCTTTTCTCTCTCTCTCTCCCTCTTTCTAAATAAAGCTTTAGCCTATTATTTCTCCTAAGTTCACCTGGGGGAGATTTATACATGATAACTCCAACCAATGAACCACACTGTTAATTTATAAATGCTGACTCTTAAAAGACAGGTAAGGGGTGACCATGATAAAAATTGCATGATTTTTCTGGAAGTTTATTTGCTTAATCTTGTGAAAGTTAGAATTTCTAACATTTACAAGTTAAAGTTAGGTATTTTACACTTAGAGGTTATAAAACTTGTGTGTTTAGTTGATCAGGTAATTTATGAATTTATTTGATCAAAATTTATAGTTTTAATAAGTATAAAAATGACTTTAAGAAGTGTTACATAAGAGTTCTAAGAAACCATTAAAGAAATGCTAATGAAACATTAGAGGGAAAATGACCAGGAGACTGAAATGAAACTTGCTGATGGCAAAGATTTTTTCACTGAAGAGACAAAAAGAATGCTTGGGAACAAAAAATAGAGTGAATGCTGTAAAACTTATCAAACATAAATATGGAATACAAATAATCAACAAGAAGTCATCAAAGCAGAACTGCACAACATAGCATGGTGCAACAATTGTGAATCTATCTAATCCCAGACGACTCTAAACTGTTCTCTCAAAAGATTAATGACTAGACTTAAGTGTTGTATTGGAACAGGATGGGAGTGTTGCATTACAAGGAAAACATAGATGAATTAAAATACGTTAAAAGTTTATGAATAAATACTAAGATTTCCTAGTCCAACACACATTATGTCAGGTACAACTAGTCACACTAAAAATAAAATGCTAAAAACTCACTCACTGTCTTCTGTGGGAAGGACCTGCAGGGAGTAAATCCACTCTATTATATCATCTTTGTTCACCACATCTAAGGAATCCAACATATCCAGCCCGGAGAGCGCAAAAAATGCAATTGTCAACCTAAAAGAAAAAAACGTAAAATTTCATCTTAACTATCAAACCACTGAAGTCCTTCTGGTTCAGAAAAATAATAAACTTATTCCAATTTCAAAATAATTTAAACAATACTCCTATCTTGCAAAACCCAAAAAACCCAATTTATTTTTATAATTTAATAATATCAACGTTTTGTTGCAATTTTTAAAAAAGTGACATTTAGGGGTTAAGAAACCAATCATACCCATCTAAAGCGTACATGAATTCACTGAAGCCAGTACATTAGCAACCTGAAGGCTAAAAGCAGATTTAAAAAAGAGATTTCCCTGCACCTAATCAGTATAAATAAGGCCAAAAGGCTGGAAAATATATAAAAATCACAATTTTCACTAATTTGCCAAGAGTAATTATGCCTTAAGCAATGTTAGAATAAATCTATCTTTATTCAAATTTATTTATAAATAATGTGACTCCCTTGGAAAAAAACTTTTAACAAATTTTGGGAAATAAGGAACACTTTAAAAAATACAAATGCATTTCAACTCCCTTTTCCCAGAGAGAAATATTTTTTGATGGAATGAAAAACTATAAGGTAACAACCTCCCCCTTAAGATTGTACACTAAATCACAAATCTAAACCTTGTGCTTTCATAGAAAAACTAGTACCTTGGTGATTGCTTTTTACATACAGAATTTGTTATATATCATTCCTTTCATGTTGAGATGCATTCTACAATGCTGTTTGAGCAATCTCATTTCCATAGTCTAATAATTCCTATAACTAATACTGATAAATTAATACTTCAAATTATCTGGTCCAAAATCTTATAACAGAACCACTTGGCACATTCTTTAACCTTTTTAACGGAGATTCCAAAAGAGAGTTAAGCCTTAATGCCCTAAGGTATGCATTGCATATAATAAATTAACTTCTGTCCTGTGCATCTAGAATGGTATTATCCAGAATAGTATTACCAACTGTGGGAGGAATGAGAAAACAGTTACTCATTTTTTTTAGGGTATAATTCTCTCTGATCTCTGGCTGAAAAAGGCTGGCATCCATTAGACAAGGGGAGAAGCAGCAAACAGCAATTTAATTCAGCTTTTCTCCAAAACAAAATGACACTGTAGACACGGGAAAAACTTCTACCTAACAGCAGCCAAGTTTGAAAATCACTGCTCTCGGTGATAATTATGTCTCAGGAGATAAGGTCTGCCTTGTTCATGGTATGCACTCAAATATTTATTGAATTAACTAACAAAAGACCTACAATACTACGTCTAACCTTCCTGGATAGCTCTAACAAGGTTTTTAGTTTTGCTGTTATCCATAAAGTGAATGATTATAGTCAGATAAAATTAAGCATCTAATAATTCAGTTTATTAAAGCATTATTATAGAAAAAAGCAACATAAGGTTGTTGATAAAACAACCTGATCAGGTAGGATAAAACAAAGATCTTCCTGTTAGTAGAAAATACATAATAAGAAAACATATCCAGGTGAGGGCCCAGTGGCCTAGTGGTTAAGTTCGTGCATTCTGCTTTGGCGGCCCACGGCCCAGGTTCGCGGGTTCGGATACCAGGCGTGGCCCTACTCACAGCTCATCAGGCCATCTTGAGGCAGCATCCCACATAGAAGAGCTACAACTCTACAACTATGACATACGACTATGTACTGGGGCTTTGGGGAGAAAAGAGACAAAGAGCAAGATTGGCAACAGATGTTAGTGCATCTTTCTCAAAAACAAAAAAAAAGAATGAGATATAGCTAAATAAAACAATATATTTAAAAAAAAACATATCCAAAGAGCTATAAAAATGTTACTATTCTTTTCTACCTTCAGAAATTATCTAGTCCCACCTCTTTAATTTTCTAGCTCAAGATAATGAAGTCCAAAGAATTCAAGTAATTTGCTTGAGATTTCAATGCTAGATAACCAATTAAAACAACTTAGGAATTCTGAGTGGCAGTGTGATGTTCTCCACAAGGGTGTCTCTCAAACCTGGCTGCATATTAGAATCAGCTTAAAAAAAATTAAAACACCACCAACAAAACCTAAAGAGGTAGGCTCTACTCACGACAATGAAATCAGAAATTCTAGGTGGAAGCTGGAGTCTGGGCACCTAGTATTTAAAAAAAAAAAAAGCTTCCCAGGTGAGCCTAATGTGCAGCCAGGCTTTAGAAGCACTTCTCTAGAGCAGTGTTTCTCCACTGGGGGCACTACCGTCCCCCAGGGGCCACTCTGAAGACATTTTTCGTTGTCACAACTGGGGAGGGTGCTACTGGCATCCAGTTGGTAAAGGCCAGGGATGCTGCTAAATGTCCTATGATGTACAGGTCAGCCCCATTCAACAAATAAGTGCCTGGCCCAAAATGTCAACAGCACCGAGGCTGAGAAACAATGCTCTAAAGTCACACTGCTATCCGTATATAAGTGTTATCTGAATGATCTGTTTTTCATTTTACTTGCTCCTGGGTATGAATGCAAATACCAGAAATCAATCATGAGTAAACTACTCATTGGTAACTATTTTAAAATCTTGCATACTTAACTATTACCGGATTCCAGAAGTCCAGCATTTTCAATTCACAGCCGTCGAGACTAAGATTTATAGGATTAACACAGCTAGAGGGAAAAGCTTATGTTTATAAAATGAAGCACCCAGCATGGCTGGCAGATAGAACCAATAAGTCAATTTGGGGCAAATGTCTGGCCTGCCTCTAAAATAGGCTAGGAAAGTACTGCTTTTCTCACTACACCAGAGTTCTCAAGTAGTCCTAAAATTCTGAGAGGGAGAAAATGAAACAAGCCATAGGAAATACAAAGGAATTCTGGGCTGTGGGTCTCTGAGAGAAATAATGTAGGGTTTATAGCGCCAAGATGATTGTGACTTGGGGTACAGACTGCTGGGCAACCTGCCCTGGTGCAGGTATACAGAGGGGTAATCTTGCCATGCATGCACCTAAAATCAGGCCAGTGAAGTTATTTTTACCTTATTACTTCTTTGGAGAACATTTGTCTGTTCTTTTCCCTACAACTGAACTCTGAGTCTGTAGCCTGAAAAACCGAAGTAAGCAAGCCATGGCGTCCTGACCATTCTCCTACTACGAACGATACATGTAAAAAGTTTATCTTACATAGATGAAAAAGTAACATTTCCCCCCAAATCAAGTTGCTTCACCAGGGGATCAGTTCGCAGATGGGAGAGGTAAACTAAATGATGTCTCCAAAAAATCTCCAAGTTTTCAGGCTTAACAACAAACTTTTCAGGCTTAAGAAACAAGGATTAAAAAGAAAAAGTCTGGGCAGTGGAAAAAAGAATTTAACCACACTAATATGATTTTTCTACGCCACTAAATTTGCAGCATATTGTCAGGCTGGAGCAGGTGAGTGACCATTTGGAAGTATATTGGAAACACTGATTTATGGGAGTTGACTAGACTCCCAAACTTTGGATCAGTTGCTCTGCCCCTTTCTACTACAATCTCTTTACTGGGATCTCCAAGTGTCTTTAACAGTGGACTGCATTCCCTGCCTAGATCTCAGGTGGGGCTATAGCTAAATCACAGTACCAAGAGTTCTAAAATTATAAATCAGCAGCTATATTAAGAAATAGGAACACAGATGCTTGATAAAATTGTTAACAGTGGAAATGAAGAAAGAGCCAGCCATAGAGGACACATTAGAATTAATCATGAAGTTAAAATACACAGCACATAGAGACCCCAATACATACTTCGGAATGAATGACTGAAAGACTGCAAGAATTCTAGAATTTTAAGCCTTATTCTTCATCTGTAATATTTTTAAATAGCTGACTCATCTGGTAAATATTTTTAAGTACAGTCCCACATCTTTGGAATTATTTAACATGCAAAATAATTTTTCATTAAGAAACATTTACTGAACATCTACTACAGACTAGATCGTGATAAAAATGAATGAAACAAGCCTCCTAACCTTAAGCAGGTTAAATCATGGCGGAAAAATAACTAAGTAGCTACCTGGTACGTGCTATTATAGAAATCACCGTCCTCTTTTCTAAACCTGCTCCTTTTGCCTCTTGTTCTCTAGACCAGACGGCAGTTCCAATCCTGGAATCCTGGGACTCTTTCTTCCTTCATCCTCTCCTTCTATCCCTACTTCTAGCGCCCCAGCACCTGGCTCCTGGACTACTGCAACAGCTTCCTAACTGGTCTTCCTGATTCTGGTTCTTGTCTCACTCAATACAATGACCAATCTCAAATTCAATGGTCACTCTGAGATGCATACCTAACTAGGAAGATACACTGCTTGGCAACTTCCTATCACTTACATGATATCAAATTCAAGTTTCTTGACATGGTACACAAAGTCCTCTGTGATCTGGCCTATGTCTACCTCTCCAGACTAAATTCCTACCACACTTGCCTTACATTTTGAACCACTATCAGTGAACTGATGGACTTTCTCTGCTCAACACTCACGTATCTGTCTTTATTGTCTTTATTTATTGTCCATTTGCCTATAAACCACCCCCCCCACACACATACACACAAAAACTGAATACATTCTTTAATATTTAGCTCCAGGGTCACTCCATCCAAAAAGCCTTTTCTGAGCCCCGTCTCTTCAGGTTGAGCTACTTAGGTGCTTCCAGAATGTCCTGTGAATACCACAATCATCGTGCAAACAAACTCAAAGTGTGGTCAGGGACCAGCAGCATCAGCATCATCTGGAGCCTGTTAGAACTGCAGCATCTCAGACCCCACCCAGACCTATGCAATCAGAATCCGCATTTTAACAAGATGCTCAAGTGATTCATACCATATTAGAGTTGGGAAGCACTGTTGTAATAATCTGTTTGTATATTTGTTTCTGCTATCAGGCAAACAGTCTCAAACTTTAGTGTGCATCAGAACTACCTGAGATGCTTGTTATAATGCAGACTCCCAGGCCTACACAGAGAGTCCAGTGCAGTAGATCTGGAGAAGGGCCCAGGTAGGTGTATTTTTATAAGCACTCGATGTCACTGATTAAGAGCCTCCCACTATCACCATCACACACTTGGAGAGACACACTGCTAGACTGTGTTACACTTCAGACAAGGGAGAAAATGAAAGGACAGTAGTATTTGTGGGATGGTAGGCGCTGAGTGGTTAAAACACAGGATACAAAGGGGAATATGGAAGGGCATGAGAAGAGAAAGACTAGGTAGACTGCGAATGTCTTGTAAAATAAAAACTAATTGTCTAAATCCTTCTTCTAGAACAGTTGGATCTATAAAAATAACATCATAGAAAATGGTCAATATTTTGATCCTCAATAAAAAAAGCCTACTCTAATTCCCATTACCCAAATACAAATGGCAACAATATCTCATAACCAAAAAAACTCTCTAAACCACTCATAAAAAAGAAACCTGTTAATTGAAAAAGCTCAAAATCCAAGGTTTAATATTCACTTGAGTTAACTGGTAACTACCAGTTTTGAGAAGTTAATACATATAGAAGAAAAACCTCGAGAGAAACAACAAACAACATACCTTTTTGTTTTCATAAAGCTACCCTTATTAGAAAAATAAAAGTTATTTCTACTTGTCACACTAAAAGAAACAAGGAAATGGAATAATTTTGTCAAAATGGTGGGTCAGAAAACAAGTGTCCAAATCTCTAGTCAATCAGCCTTCCTAAAAGTCAGTTGTTTCATATCTATCAGTAAAAAGAAGTGAACACAGGAACACCTGAATCATCGGTTTAATACCGCATCCCCATACCCAGGCACATGGTAGGCACTCAATGAATGCTTGTGGAATAGAACTGCAATACTGGATAAGAACTCGACTTAGTCAACATATTGTTTTATCTTAAAACTCTGGTATTAGTAGAAACTTTGTGACCTTTGCTTAAAAGGCTGGAACTTTTTCTCAAGCATCTTAAAGTCAATTATGAACCACATATACCACAAAAGGACTTAAGGCTAAACTAAGAAAAGTAAAGACCGTGAAACAAGAAAGAGAAAAACTGAAAAATTTTTAAAAATCACTACAAAAACTGATATGTACAGATTATCTTCAATGTGGTTATTAAGTGAGCCATAAGAAAACCAAAAACAATAAAAAAAAATATTCTATTCAAGTGACAAACACGAGACATAAAAAGGACATAATTAATATTTCTTAACTAATGCACCATGATGTTATATATCTATTATCTAATATATAATGTCAGGTGTAGATCCTAACATTATACTAAAGTTATTAAATCAACTGTTAAATTAGTTGTTCAATCAGACAGTTTTTGCTGTTTACTTTTACTTATGCTGTGAGCAGGGTTACATAGTTTGCTGCCAACATTCATTAATCTATACAGTTTTGTCCATGTTGGAATTTTAAAGAATAGACCAATCAAACACATTGGAATTTTAAAAATGCAACCACAGACCTATAATGATAGCTACCAGCAAAGCTGAACTGCTTAACAATCACAAAAGGATGGATGGTTTTTTAATCCAAATGCTTTGAATTCACATAAAATTAATCCCCATAAAATATAAATGTGATTTATCAACATTCTGCTTAACATCCCATATCATTACAATCATTGGACTGAGTTTTAGAAATCTTAATTTAGGTCTAGGTATGGGCTCTGCTAGTCAATCAATATCTATGGAGGGAGAAAGGAATACAAAAACAATGCTTCACTCTTTCTTTAGCAAGAATCTGTTCATCCTTCAGGGCTCAGCTCACATTATTCAACAAATATCCACTTAGTGCTTCTCATACGCCAGACACTATTCAAGGTCCTAGTGCAAAGCTGTGCAGTAGGACTTTCTGAGATAACGGAAATGCTGAAATAGAAACAAAAGCCACTGGCCAATGTGGTGACTGAGCACCTGAAATGTGGTGGCTACTGCAAACAGAGGAAGTGAATTTTTAATTTGACTTTATTTTAATTAATTCAAATTTAAATAGCCAAATGTGGCTAGTTGGCTACCATATTGTACCAGGCAGCCCTAGTGTTACAGAGGTAAACAAGATAGACAAGATCCTGCCTTCATGAAGTTTACAATCCAGTGTGAAAGAAAGATATTAAACAAATAAACCAATAAATACATAATTTCAGGTGGTGACTAGAAGTGGTCTCTTTTGGAGAGAGTGATTAGGGAAGCCCTCTCTAAAGAAATCTGAATTAGGTACCTACCCTTCCTATATGCTCCCATGAACCCTTTACTAACACACAGCACAGAACTCTATGAAGCCTACTTGCTTGTCTTGTTCAGCTGTACTCCAGCACCCACCATAGTAAATATTTCTTGACCACGTATGCAGAAGTAGTCTATAAAACTTCCAAAACTGACCCAGTCATGCAGTGTACAAAATATACCAGAGACTCAGAGTTCAGAAAATGTGGAGAGAGATCAGAGCAAAAACAATCTCCTCTCTCTTCCCATTCCAGCTTTGGAGGCTCACTTCAAAACACAGCAATTCAGAGCAGAGATCGCCTCCTCCTTTCCCTCCTCTTAACTTCAGACTTTTACTCTGAATGACTAATTCACGTTTCTCAGTCTCTACCAGATCACACTCAGCCAACTAGAACTTACAAGACAAATACACTTTTAACAGGCTGCTTCACGCAACACTGCACCTCTTTCGCCAATCTTCTCCTATCATTCGATTTACAATTCCTGGAAAGTTAATTTCTCCTCAAACCTCAGAGGTTCTCTGCTGCAGCTACACATCAAACACCATACAGGCATTCAACTAAGAATTAACGACTGCACGGAGGAAAGGGAAGCACAGGAGAGGCTATTTATCTCAAGTTCGATGACAAACCCTGTCTTTTTTTCTTTATACTCGGAAGAAATGAGGCCAAGTGACTCAGGCTCAGAGAGGGAGTAAAAAGAAAGCTCCGAGTTGACAGGAAAAATGGTTGGGAAACGAAAAGGGCGGAAACTGGAGACTCCAAAAGCCTCCGACTTACAGTTTCCTCAAACCATCCCGCCGCAGCTCGGGGGAGTGAGGGTGGCCGCAGGCCCGGCGGAGAGGGGAGGCCCCGGGCAGTGCCTGGTGGGCGGTGGCGCAGCCCCCGCAGGCGCCCAGTTAGCCCTCGGGCTCCGCGGCGCCTTTCCGCTGGGGCCGGAAACCCGTGCCCACCCCTTTCACTGGGGCCACGAATTACCTGCTGGTCTCGAGCGAAGAATAGCGCTCTGGCAAGACCTGGAGGCAGCGCTGGAAGAACCGCACGTGCCGGTCCCGCAGGAAATCCAGCCGCTCTCCTTCACCAGTCCCCACGAGACGCTCGTCCTCCGTGGCCGCCATGTTGCTACAGAAGCGACTTCCGCCGCGACCCGGAAGCAATTTGCGTGAGGCACGAAGGAACCCAGAGGGGCGATGTGGAGGGGCCGGTGGGGAAAGGGGCGTGTGCCTGCCGCAGACCCAATCTGTGGTTGAAATTACACAGTTAAAAGAAAGTTTTACGCAGTATTTTATCTCTCTGATTTCTCCCTAGATAGCGCACGACCCAAGCTTTTCTACTCTAAGCCCCAAATGTTTGGAAACACCTCGCAAGCTTGGTAAAATTCAGTCCACAAATCCTTCCAGAACTTTTACGCTCATTCGGTATTTGGGAGGAAGTGCAATGTCAATAGCTTCGAGTTCGCTTAGAGAAAATCATGACCCTAAAGGATGGTATATATGAAAACAGGGATGGGTCAGTATAAATTTGCCACCAGACTCATTTTTGGAAGGCCACAGAGCCACAGATTTAAGCTGAATGGATAGGGAAACTAGACCTACAAATCAAACTCTGGAGATAAATGTTTATGAAATAATTACTGACACTTCAAAAGTTCAGAGTCGTTCCTAGTCCTCTCTAGAATACCAGGAATCACTTTAAAATATATATATAAATGCAACATACACACATACATAATATATATATTTATATGTGTGACTGCTTGCACCATTTTCTTTTACAAGTCTTAAAAGATTTTACTCTTTTGCTTGAGTTAATGCAAATGCATCAATTTGCAATAGTAAACAAGCTCAACATGTTCTCCAACTACCCATACACTAAAAAATAACACACTTCTAGCTATTTAATCAATAAGGGGGATTTAAGTTGCTACAGCCATATTCTATTCCCTTTAAAAGTTCATGAGGCAGGGCCAGCCCTGTGGCTTGGTGGTTAAGTGCGTGCGCTGCGATGCTGGTGGCCTGGGTTCGGATCCCGGGTGCGCATCAAGGCACCACTTCTCTGTTCATCCTGAGGCCGAGTCCGCATACAGCAACTAGAAGGATGTGCAGCTACGACATACAACTATCCACTGGGGCTTTGGGGGGAAAAAATAAAATAAATAACAGCTTTAAAAA